CGCGAGCCCGGCACGTGCCCCAGCGGCAGCGGCGCGCGCGGCCATTGGCTGAGGCGGCGGCCAATCAGCGGCCGCGGCTGTTTTGCCTCTGAGGGCGGATAAAAAGCCCGGGTGGGACCGCGGCGGAGCGGAGCGGGCGCGGCACCGGCGGTGAGCGGGGCAGGCACCGGGGATGGCGGGGGAGACACCGGGGGCCGCTGAGGGATGGCCGTGTGTGCAGCGAGCGGGGTGGGGTAGGCACGGTGGGGGGAGAGGCTTGCGTAGGGATTACGTGGGAAGGGGGGCAACGGGTAGAGATGGGGTGCCTAGGGGGGATTCACGCGTGGGAGTGGCAGTGGCGGAGGGAGAGGGGATGGAGAGGCAGAGCCGGGTGATGAGGGAGAGGGTCGGTGAGGGGCTGAGTGGGGAGGGGGGAGAAGGGAGAAGGATGCAGCGGGGCTGTTGGGGGGAACGGGATGTGCCGGGGGGATGTGTGGAGCGGGGTGTGCTGAGGGAGCCCGGGCCGGTGCGTGAGGGGCGGCCGGCGGAGGGGAGAGCGGGCTGCAGCTCCTGCCGCAGAGAGGAGCGCGGGCTGAGAGCGATACCGGCTCTGGGGAGGGGGCTGCGGGCGCAGGGATGAGGATGAGGAGGAGGATGTGATGGAGGAAATGCGTAGTGGGCTGCGCTGGGGCAGCGGGCCTGCGCTGTGGGTGGATGGGTGGGCGTGTAGGGGGCACGGCAGCGGGCTGGCTAACAGGGCAGGGGACTCCGAACCGGCTGCTGGGGCTGGAAAGAGGCCCTGACCCCCAGGCATCACTGCAGGGAGCTGGCTCAGACCCTATCCCACCAAACCCCCTGTGCTGGGGTCTGTCCCTTAAGGRAAGCCCTGGGAAGCTGTCCTGGCTGGGTGTGTGGCCAGCGGATCGCCCCACAGCASGGGCTGAGCTGTGTTTGGGCTGGGAAAAGCCTTAGCTTGTCTCAAAGGGCCACCTGGCTTGTGACACAGGGGTGGCTCCTCGCCTCGGGGCTCCCTAGGGATGCTCCTTGGACAGCCAGGTGTGTTCCCATATTTGCTGGCTCCTGTCCAGCAGGTGTGTTCCAGGTGTGTTCCCATATTTGCTTGTCCAGGGACCGGGACAAGCGGAGCTGGACACAGTTAATGCAGCTGCAACATCTGGAGATGCCGGTGAGCTGTGGTGTCCCCCAGCTGGGCAGTCTGGCAGGCAGCAAAAAGTGCACCTTAGTGAGCCAYTGGTGGATAAACTGAATTTATAGGACCCTCACTCGCCTCCCAGAGCAGGTCTGTGCTGTGGCACGGGGCAGAGCACACCTGGTGGGTCACTGAAGCCATCCCTGGGGCTGTGGGGCCATGTCCCCTGTCCCAGCCCCTGCCTGATGGCCATGGGGAGATCAGGGTGCTGGCTGAAGCCCCCCTGCGCTGGCATTTACTCCCCCAGTGCCTCACAGATGAGGGCAGTGGGCTCCAGGCAGTGGCTGTTTGCTGCATTTTCATACCTGTTGCTCGGCAAGTGGAACAGAGTCCTTGAGCAGGGCCCTGTGTCACACGGTGAGCCCCCGAGGGGCTCTTCCAAGGGCACCTGTGCCTTCCCCATCCCTCCAGGTCGCTTGGCAAGCTGGTACCTGCAAAAACCAGCTCTGCAAAAACCACTCTACACAAACCTGGGTGCCTGGCGTTCAGCTTTGCTTGCGTGCTAGTAGGGAGATTTCTTAAACTGTGTTTTCYCACACTGTTGGAGCGGCGTGTGCCGTGTCTGTGGACTCACTGGAGGCTTTTCCCTGCAGGTTGAGGCTCTCTCTGAAGGAGGCCACGTCCCCAGGCAGCCATGGCCCCCACACTCGCCACAGCCCACCGGCGGCGCTGGTGGATGGCCTCCACRGCCATCATCGAGAACCTGCTCTTCTCTGCCGTTCTGCTGGGCTGGGGGTCCCTGCTCATCATGCTGAAGGCTGAAGGGTTTTATTCCTACCTGTGCTAYGGGGAAGGTAAGGATGCTCTGAATTCGTGTGTGGATAAAGTGCTGCTGGGGTTTGGTGGTGTGGTTCTCAATTTTGGGGTGCTGGAAGAGGGCTGAGTTCCACATCCATCCCAGGAGAGGTGGAAGGGATGTTTGTTTTTTCCAGAAACCAGTGGCCTCCTTGTGATGGTGCAGCGTGCCTGTAGGTGTGCTGTTGCTTTGTAGAGTRATTGGAAAAATAAGCCTATATGGTGAGGTGGAGCTTTTCTGGATGGCCTTTTCCACTTGGCCACGAGTTGTTCCTCTGCAAGGGGTGGCTGAATGGATTCTGGAGGATGATGATTTGTGGGGAGGGTGTCCTGAGTTTATAAGAGRAGCTTTGTCCTTAGTGGTAAGAAAACAAGGAGAGTAGCTGGCAGTAACATCAGGGCAGCCCAGTKCTGCTGTTGAGGAGAATTTGCAGAAGTAAATGTTTCTGGTGTTTGTTCCTCCCCTACTTCAAGGCTCCCAGGATGCACTCAAACCAGGCTGTGTTTCTGTCAGGRCTTGAGATGCATCCTCTGCCCCAGCCAGAGGAAGTGACTGCCTGCCTTTCCCCTTCCAGGCTGTGTCAGCAACAATCTTGTGGTGTGGGAAGGATAATCCTGGGAAAACACCCTGGAGAGGTGGATGTGTGTTCCCAGCCTGGGCATGGAGAGAATTGTGCATCCCACGATGTGTTTGGGTGGTCARTGGGGTTAAAAGGAGCCCGAGGGTGAAGGTGTGGTGTGGATTTGGGAAGCTGCTGTGGTGGCTGAATGTTTGTGTGCTCAGAAAAGGGAAGGGCAGGGTGAAGAGAGGCACTTTGGGCTCTGTCCAGGGATATTTGATGGAGATTAAGACTGGATCAGCCCATTTGGGACTGATGGAGGAAGCAGTTTGTGAAAGGAATTGGAAATCAGTGGAAATGCAGTGAATAATGACTGGGGGCAAAACTGAAATGTGGGAGAACAAAAGTCCAGGCAAAGGTGACAACACTTGCCTGTGACAATACTTTGGGTTTTGCTCATTCATCAGCTGCTTGTTATCTCTGCTGCTTGTGTAGCAGAGCCTGGCTTGGTGCACCTGGCACCAACATGTTCAGGTCTTTTATCAGCTGGAGCTTGGCTGCTCCATCTCCATCCTGTGCCCTGCTCACAGGGCAGCACTCCCACCCTTGTCCCTGTCATTCGGGTCCCCAGGAGCCCTCCAGCCTGGGTGAGGGACAGTCCTAGTGCCTGCAGATCTTGCAGGACTTTCTGTTCAAGGCTGCTGTGTTCTCTCCACATCACRGAGACTTTGTCACAGGCCTGTGTACAAGATCCCATTAAACCGATCAGGTGGAGACTTTCTGCCACCCAGATAATGAGCACCAGAGCTGATAAGCAAACGCTGACTGTCTCCCTGAGCAGGCATTTGCCTGTCTGCTTCCTGAGATGTTCTCTGCTGACAAATGCAGTCACTCAGGGCCCACCTCCTGCTCTTTGCTCTGACTGCTCCCAGTTTGTCCCAAGTCAGTGAGATTCACCTTGGTTTCTCACCCCTGATTGCCAATCTGTGGCTTTTCCCCATGGGAGTGCCCAGGCCCATAGAGAAGATACAAAGTTTGGACTGCTGTGAAATCGCTGCCCTGGGAGCAGCTGCATCCTCCCAGTGGCCAACCTGTGCCCTGAGGCAAGAGAGCTGCATCCCTGAGAAGAAATTTGTGTTGTCAAGTGTTCTCATTGTCCTCAAGTATCTGGCCATCACCACTGATGGTGGCTTGTGATGAGCTTGGGGACATTGATCCATGCTGACTCACTCCTTTCTCTGCTTTTGTCCTCCTTGTAAGACTTTTGTATAGAAGAATCCTGGTTTCTAAGAGTTTTGTAGGGAAGAATCCTGGTTTCAGTGTGGGGAGGCTCTCAATGACCAGCCCCAAGTAGAGTTTTCCCTTTGCTGGGATTAGGATGACCCAGTGGTTGCCTTTTTCAGCCTGACCTACTGAACCCTGCAGCCAAGTGGGCATTTGGCTGGAAGGTTGGTGCAAACAAACCATGCCTAGTAGCCTTTGGGCACTTGTTGTTCTTAAAGCTGCCATGGCCATGTAAGTATGGCAAAAAAGAAAAACAGGCTTTTCCTAATGAGCCAAAGGTTCTTGGCAGGGCTTTCAGTTTGTCAGCAAAAGCTCTTGCACTTTGTGATGCTTCCCAGTGAAAGGCAAAAGCAGACCKTGTCCCTTCTGCAGGTTCCTCTCTGAAGGTAGGAGCAGCTGCCCAGAAAGTGCTGCAGTTCATGAAGGGCTCCTTAGCTGTGTGGGTGGGATTTTACTCGGCCACCCCACAAATGTGGGGTCTGACAGACTCTCAACTCAGTGGTATGAGGGTGGAGATGCACACCTGGGGAAAAAAAAAAAACCTGAAATAACAAAATATTTTTCAAGTTGAGTTGTGCAATGGGGGTTGAGCTGGGGGGGTTCTACCCGTAGGGCCACCTCCTGAGAGGTATGCTTGAAATTCGCTGACAAGGAGYCTGGTAGTAGCACTTTGTTCCCATTTTAATTTTACTACGCTACTACTTGGCCTTTAACCAACTGAAGCAGCATCTTTTATTCGGTGCGAGTGCTGACTCCACACTCTTTATCATGGTTCTGGGCCTTATCAGCTCCTGGGGAATTTGATCAGTCCAGGGCCTTGCCTTGCTGTGATGTTCCTGGGATTGGGAAGCTGAACGCTTGGGTCTGAAAYATGTTTAAAAAAAAAAWGTCCTGAACTTGATAATGTGCTCACAAAGAGCAGAGATAAGGGGCACAGAGGGCTTTCCTTTGAGACAGGGCTGCGGAATACCAAAGGGRTGATAAGCTAATTCACTTACAGCAAGTTAACGAGCCCTGACGTAGTCATAGGGGGAAGGTACTGCCTTGCAGCAATTTTCCCATATTTATCTGAGGTCTGGGGTGAGAAACTCACCAGTCTGAAGGTCCCTTATAATCCGGGGAGATAGGACAACAACGGTTTGACAGCAACGGTTTGTGGACAGGCTGCACACGTGGGGCTGTAAACAGGAAAAGAGTGAACGTGGTAAATGTTCGGTTTGTACAGGAAACACGCTGTACTGATCAGTACCCCGGGCCCGGGTGAGAACTGCTGCAAAATGAAACACCAGCTGGACACACAAGGGGAGTTGCACTCCCCTTGCAAGTTGCACATTGTGCCTCGGTCATATTGTTGGTGACAATATGAGGCTTTCAGCTGGGCACCCAGAGAGGGGGTCCTGGAGGTGCAGGTGGAGGGGCAGGGAAACCCGAATCGATGGCTTTTGCAGTGGTACAAAGCAAGAACATCTCCTCCCAGTTCCCAGAAGTATGACACCATCCTGAAGAGAGAAAACATGTTCTTATGTGGGCAGACTGCAGAATCAGTTGTTTGCACATGTCTTTCAGTGTGCTGTTTTTTTTAAACCAATACTCCCAGTTCTATGCCCTTGATTTCTCTCCTTTTTTTTTCCCTCATCTTTTTTTTTTCTTCTTTTTCTGTAATGAAAAGAGGAGGAAGGTGAGGGGCGTGCAGGCTATGTTCCACAGAGCTATTGTCGGGGTGGCTGGGGGTGTCTTGCCTGTTTAACTCAGTCTGATCCATGAAACAAGATGAAAGGAAAGCTCCTCTCTGCCATCTGAGATGGCAGTCACTCCTGAAAAAGCCAGACGTTCCTCTGGTAATGTGCTCTGTATATGTGTGTGCCTGGGATTTGAAGAGGTCAGTAAAGAGCAGTTAATGATTGACCCTTGCATGGAACCTGCAGCACGCTTAATTTGGGAGAAAGGATGGCTTTAAACGTTCCAGCCTGAACAAATCCCAGCCATGATCTTGACAGAAATGATTATCCAGGCAGCCTTCTCCTCACCTAAGCTGTCATTCTTTAAATAGTAACCTGAACTACTAATTGGGCAGTAGAAATCCTGCTGCTTGTGCGGGGAGTGCTGTAAAAATAGGCAGCGTGTTCTTGTAATTGCTGGTAAAGACCTGTAGCTTCTCCTGGCCTGTCAGTGAGGCAGCAGTGACAGAGCACAGCCCCAGTGCTGCTGCCTTAGCCTGGGTATCTCCTGCCTGTCACACCTGGAATTTTGCATGCAAGGTGGACTTGGCAAGAGGATTTGGGGAGGGCATGGCAGTGGGCATCAAGCCAGCCCTTCCCCAGAGCAGTTTTCCAGATGGAGCCAGGCACGTAGGAGGCTTTGCCCAGGAGTGTGGCGTGCGCCGGGCTGGAACAGGATCTGAGCTGAGATTGAGGGGAAGCTGCTGTTTGCTGTAACCAGGTGCAGTGGGTAGGTGAGCAGTTAGGCAGCTTCTCTGCCCATTAAACCCCTCCTGGCAGCATGTCCTGTGCTGCCACTCTCTGTCCTGTGCCAGCGAGCTGCTGGCACCCAGATCCACGCTGGCAGATGAGATAGGGCTTGGCTGGACCTTGTGCCCGCTGCACACACCTGCAGCCCCTCCAAAATGTTCTATTTATGGAGGTGGCTCAAAGGATCAGGGTGCCAAGGGCTGCTGGAATCGTTTCCATCGTGCCTCAGTGGATCTTCTCTTGTTGCTCAGGGGCTGCTTCTATTTTCACAAACAATTTGTATTTCCACACAGCACTGTTGCCCAGCCCCTCCTTGGAGCTGGCGCCGAGCAGCTGTAAACAAGGTGGTTGATACAGGCAGGGCCTGAAGTTTGGTGCCCCATTCCCAGCCTCCAGGTGTTCAGAGAGGGGCAGATTCCCCTGCTGTCTCTGAGCTGTGTCCTCCTCACCTCCTGGTGTTGGTGCACATTTGTCGTGGGAGGACCAGCAGGAGCTCCATGGGGACACAGAGCAGCTGAACCCATCAAAACATTATCAGGAATTCATATTCTCCAGCTTTAAAGGCTGAATGTTTGAGATCTCTGTGTGGGGAGGGTTATGGAGGCTTTGACACGTGCAGCCAGAAGTTTTAAGGTCACTGTACTGTTCATATCCCTCCACCCTCCTCACACTCTGCAGCTGAGCTATCTCTGGAGAGTGCTGACACAGGGAAACTGCTACTACTTTGTCGATTCCTCCCCCCTTCCTTGTTTTCCCGAGTTTCACCTCTCACCCACATCTGTTTCCTATGAATTTATCATTGTGGAGAGCCCAAAAGCCTTGATGTTGTGGGTGAAAACTGCGGAGAGCCTCCCAAAGTCTGTCCAGGACTGATTTCTGAGAATGTGACTCGGGTTCCTCAGGCTGCAGGGCTGCCTTCTGTGCAGAGGAGATGCTGCTGGTGGGACTTGTGGCATTTTGGGGATATTTGTTGCTTGCTCTGGCTGTCCATGACTGAAGGGGCAGATTAAGTTATCAATCAGAAGCACATGGCAGTGGAAAGGAACACTGCAGTTTGAAACCATCTTTGCAAAGGTGCTGGTGGGAGAAATGCAAATGGGGAGAAATGCCTTCCCTGGAGTGCTGGGAGGGGACAGAAGCAGCTCCAAAGCCTCAGATATCAGTGCCTGAATTCCTGCCGGTAACTGATGGCAGGAGGGTGCAGTGAGGTTTGTTTGCAGTGGACACAAAGCTGGCAGGGTGGTTCAGGGCAGCTGGGAGAGCCAGGGTGAAACCAGTATGAGGCTTGGGCAGAAGGGAGGGAGCTGCAAGGTGGGGCTGTGTTATCTCCAGAGATAACACGGGGAGCCTGAGAGCAGCCAAGGGGATCTCCTCCATGAGCCACACCAAGCAGTAAATGTGAAGTCACTGGCACATGAGGGATTCCTGCTAATTAACTAAACTAACCCTGGCTTGCTGGGAATCTCTAGTGGTGCTGCATGCTGCTGGTTATGGAGGTGACTTCTCCCTCACTTCTCCCTATGTTCCTCCTTTAATATTGAACTTTGTCAGATCAATTATTAAATATGAAGGAGGGTGTTTTATATCACTGGCTTGCAGCAGCAAGAGAGCAAGTGCTTTGTCATACCAGCAAAGGCTYCAGATAAGTGCTGGGAAAAGGAGAGGTGGAGTGCACTGGAGCTGTGAATTCATGGAAATCTGAAGGCACACRTACTCACTCGAGGAGTTGTAAGCAGCCTTAGGATAGGCATGTAGCAGGAGAGGAGTTGACATGAGTAAAAGGGAACTTCTTTCCTTTCTTTCCTCTTTTAATTTTTTTTTTGAACTGTCCTGTTTCTGACTTGGTTACACAACGTGGGCTCTGTGCAGCGTGGGAGTTCGCATACAGAGTTCCTCATGTAAGGGCACGAACAGAAAGCTGCGGATAGAATTGATCWGTGTGACCTCAACCCATTTTGAAAGAATAGAAAATGCCAATTATGGGGCAGGAGTTTAAAGATGCATCAATCCTTTAAAAAGACAGGTGAGCTGCCAGCCCCCCTGGGAGCAGGGCAGTTAAATCCAGGAAGGATTTTTCAGTGCCAGGGTGACTGCTGCAAAGCCATTCTTCATCCCGATGCCTGCAGTGAGGGTAGGAAGCTTTTCATTTGAGCAGGCTGCTGCTCAGTGCCAGGCCTCGTCAGCCTGTTGTCTGCAACCAAAATAACTGATTTGGCTGTGGCTGCCTTTGGTTTTGTTAGGGAAAAGATCTCTGAGAATGTGACAGCTGTAGATTGGGAGGACCTTATTTTTGTATCAGTCCCTTCAGGTTCAGCTGGGTTTAATGCCCCATAGTTGCCAGGCTTTGCTGTAGAGTTGTTTTAACAGATTAGTGAATCTCCATCCTTAGGTTTTCACCCTGCTGCTGCAGGGGATGCCTGTCCCCTGGGTGCCTTTTCCAGCTCAAAGCAGARCTCATCAGGTTTCCCTCATCCTTCTGTTTCTCTCCTTCTCCATTTTTCACAGATTAGAATAAAAACTGGGCTGTGGAGGGGCTTTTCCCTTCCCTCCTTCCTGGAGCACTTCAAACCTCATCCTAACACCCTGCCCTCTCTCCCTGCTCCATGTAGAACCCACCACCAACAGCTCTGAGCTCGACAACAGCACAGCTTCAGAGCACAAATGGCCTTCCTGCAACGCCCAGGATGAGATGCTGAACTTGGCCTTCACCATCGGCTCCTTCCTGCTCAGCGCCATCACGCTGCCCTTGGGGATTGTCATGGACAAGTACGGCCCTCGCAAGCTGCGGCTGCTGGGCAGGTGGGTGTGCTGGGCTCTGCGGGTGGGCTCGGGGCTGATTCCCACCCTGTKTGGGGCAGGTGGGTGCTGTCTGGATGCTCTGCCTGTTGTGGGGTCCCTGCAGCCATGGGAAGTGTGTGAGAGGTGGGGATCTGTCCCAGAGCAGCTCTGGGGTGATTTCAGCCAGCACAGTGGATTGCTCCACCAGGGAAGGGCCTGGAACTCCRTGTCCACACTTCAGCTCTCCAGAGCTGCTTTGTGATCCCTGTCCAGATGGAGCCTGGAGGAAGAGCGGAGTCGTTTGTGAGTCAGGGAGTGGAGCTTTCTCCTTGGGCTGGGAGCTGTGTCCTGAGAGGCACAAAACCAAGATGTTACATCATTGTTTGCAGGCTGGGGAGTTAACTCAGGGATAAACATGTCCTGTTGCCTTTCCCAGGGCTCTTCTCTTCCATGGGGTGTATGTTGCTTTCTGCCTCAAACAGCAAGGCTGTCAACTGCTTCTGTCATGGCATGTAGGGATCAGTGACTTTTGGGATCAGTGGACCCCAGCACTGTTTTAATTGTCACAGTCTTAATGCACTGGACTCAATGAGAAGCCACACTGGCCTGTGGGCAGAGTGGGAAAAACAGGSCAAGCCTCTGAGTCAGACCCTACCAGAGAGGAGTGCAGTGCTGGGGCTCAGAACAAAGGCTGCTGCTGCCTTTGCTCACCTCAAGGTGAGGGCTGGAAAAACTCTGTGCTGGAAAACCAGTGGCAATGTGGGTCCAGACAGAGCTGTGTCAGTGCTGGGAGGAAAGGTTCCTTCCCCAGCCCTTGTGCAAGGCTTGCCTGTAAGACTTGTTTGCCAGTAATATTTGGGTATTTCCCTGGATTTTTTTCTTTCCAAATTGCCAGCTTCCCCTCCCTCTTACAGAAATATTACCCCGTGCTTGTTTCACGAGGCGCTGAGGAGGTGGAAGCAGCTGTAATTGACTGTGGGGAAGGCTGTTTGTGAGAAACTCATGGCTCTGGTTCCCTTGCAGTGCCTGCTTTGCTGTGTCCTGTGTGCTGATCGCCTACGGTGCCAGTAACCCTGACTGTAAGTTGGCCTCTCTCTGCTGAGCTGGGAGCATTTCAGGGCTGTGGTTTGGGGTTTTTGGGGAAGCAGAGTTCAAACTGTCACCCTCCAGTGCTGTGCTGAGGTCTTGCTGGGGATGCAAGGCAAGCATCAAGTGGCTCTGGGAAAGGCTGGTGTTTCATAACACCAAGTGGAGAGTGGAGCAAGGGCCAAACAGCTGAGATACCCAGGTCTCTTAGTTTGATGTTTGGGCAGGGCCAGGTCCTGTAAAGGAGCAATTCCAGACGAGTCCATGCCTTTTCAGGGCTGGGAAATAGGGAACAGGACACAATGTGAAGTTGGCTTTTTTCCCAGAGATGGATGGAGCTTGCTCTTCAGGAGCAGATAGTGAGATGATGCTTTGAATCTGGTTTGTTCAAGTGAACCTTCTTTTTGAGACCCATCAGACAAGCTGCATGCAAATCATTTTGAAAAAGAAATCCATCCTGGGTAAAGATGATCCTATCCTGAACTCTGTCTTGGAGGAGAGCGCTGTCCCTCCCAGTCCATGTGGCTGGGGAGATGGCTGCTGGGTCAGGAAATCATGACATGTCCTGACAGTGTTGATCCACTGAATCAGGGACCAAAGCCCTCAGGGCTCTGCCTTCTTTCCCTCTGCATCCCAGTGAAGGCTAAGGGCAGTTTTTTTATTATTGCAGCGCTGTCTGTGCTGATATTCATTGCCCTGGCCCTGAACGGCTTCGGTGGGATGTGCATGACCTTCACATCACTCACGGTAAGTGAAGAGTTACTACCTGGCTGCTCTATCCCTTGCTGTGGCTGGGAGCTGGGCTGGCAGGAAWGAACCAAGTGGATCTTCTGCCTGTGGCTCAAATAGCACGTGTTTGTGTTTGGTACAAAGGGTCAGTCACCCTTGGGAGCGAGTCCTTGGTTGTTATTCTAGCGCTTGTTTTCCCCGATTCGTTTTTTTTTTTTCACCTGCCCTTTGTATCTCAGGTGAAGGTGGGGGAAAAGAGGAAGTGTTTTTGTCTGGGTCTCACAATGTGCCTGTACATGCAGTGCTCAGCTGCTTGGCACAGGCTGGAYGTGTGTTTGCACTGGATTTAGCACTGACATAGAGCGGGAGGAATCAGCAGGGCACAAACCCTTGCAGCTGGATATGACCAGCTTGCTGCAGGCACAGTCTGCATCTCCCCCAGGAAAATGGTTTTTCTCCATCACAAAAGCTTTTCAGGAGGGTGAGAGTCCCTCACAGGCTTCCTTAGGAATGCTGTGTTGCTGGATGTGCACAGCTYGCTTGGATACGTGGATTGTATGGAAAGCTTTGGTCAACAACTGTCAGCTGGATCTCTGCGTTTTGGGGTTCTTTCTGCCTGGAGGCAGTATCATTCTCCAAATAACTGCTTTATTTTCTGCCTCATTACCCTGATTGTTGCCAGTGTGGCTCAAACAGGGCTGGGTGGAAAGTCGCCCAGAAAACAAGCCTGGGAAGCACCGACTTTTTTTTTTTCCCCTGAGCTGTAGTTGAAAACTTTCAGATTTGGRCTGTGCTACCTCGAAGTTGCTGTTAAAGTAAAACTTCCTGTTAAAGTTACCTTTAATTTAACTGGGCTTAGACACTGGCTGAACGAGGCTTAAACACTGGCTGAACTCCTGAGACCTAAATTTGGCAGAGGCTGGGTTTGCAGAGCACTCTGTGTACCGTGGTTTTGCTGCTGTTGTTGCTTTYATATATTCAGAGCTTTCAAAACTCTGTGCAGATGTTTCTCTCTCCGTCATACATTGTGTTCTTTACTGGGAGCCCTGGCTGTGACCCCRAGGAACTGTGGGGCAAGTGTCATTGTGCCACACTTCAAATAAAAGCAAGGAAGAGAGGAGCACATCAATAGTGCTGTGGGAGAGGAGAGGATTCCCATCCTGCTGCTGCCAGCATTKGTTATTGTCTCTCTGGGTGATTCTTGAGGGGTCACAGATTATTTTAGAACCACTGGTGATGCTGGGAGTGAGGGCAGGAATCAATTGGGTGGGCTGTGCTGTGGCTTTGAGCAGAGAAGTAACAAAGCCACTTATTAGTGGCCTCATTAGCGAGCCAGTTGTGCAGTGCTGAGGAAGAGCAGCAGCAGGGAAAAAGTCAGCTCTTCCAAGAGGAGATCCAAGCCTCGGTGAGGTGTGAAGGAAGCAGCAATGCTCTGAGGTCGCAGATGCCTCAGGTGGAGCCCATCCACTCCAGGCCTTGGTGTGTCCTGTGAAGAGCTAGGCTGGTTTCAGGCCTGACTTCTCAAACCCAGGTGGAGCTGGCTATGCAGCTGCACGGAGGCATTTCCGTACCTGAGGTGTGGGAATAGGATTAAAAATAGTCCCAAGTGGGAGGGAAGCCCTTCTTCACCTGCACCACAGCATAGCCTGTTGGACCCAGCTGTATTTTGGTTGTTGGCAGCTCACAGCTTCACTGTTCTGCCTGCAAGCTGCRTTTTGGTGTGTCAGGAGCCATCTTTCTGCTGTCACAGGGTGATSTCCTTGTGGGTTCCTTCCAGCTGTGGTCCCTGGCGACAGGGAGGCCGGGTGGGAATATAGGGACAGAATGTAGGGAGGACAAGCCTGTGCCTTGTGGGCTGTGGGTGACGTGGCCGTGCTCCGCCTTGTGCCCGGGAGGGGACAGGCTGGATGCTGAAAGGGGACACTCAAAGGACCTTTGTGAGGCCGTTGGTGACCGATGAGCCCTGCTCAGCTCCGGTGCCAAGGGAGCTGGCGCTGGCTGCCACAGGCGCTGGCTGCCGTCACACACGTGCACACCAGAGTCACAGCAAGGTGACTGCCTTCCCTGCCAGCTGCAGGTGACCCGGGCTGCTCCAGGAAATGGGGCAGACCCACGGGTGCAGTGGTCCTTGGCCATCTCAGGCAGGTTTTGGTTGGTTCTTCATGGCAGGGTGTCTCTGAAAGGAGTTTGTAGGGTCGGGATGCTCCCAGGGTGCTGCAGCTAGTAGGGCTTCGGGTGCTGATGCTTCCCAGGGCATGGTGCAACCTGGTGGCAGGGCAGGAGACAGGGATCCTGAGACAGGGATAAATGGGATCTCCGTGGATTAGAGCCTGGGACAGTGCTCCACAAAGCTCTGCCTCTTGAGTTTAAAGCCTTTTTCAGTAACAAGTCCCCAGGGTATCATGAAAGCACATGGCAGGCTGTGGAGCCAAAACAAGCTGCTGTTCCTGGGTGCCTGGGCTGCGGCTTGGGGGATGAGGGGGGAGCCAGCCAAGGGGGCCGTTCCCAGTTCTGGGAACAAGGTCAGCCTGTGCCTGTTGTTCAAATGCAGAGGGGAGATTTCTGCCTCGTGACTTGCTCTCAGCCAATATAAGTGAGGGTTGGAAATGGAAACAGATCCGTGTTGGTGGCTCTGACAGCAACGCAGGAATCTGGCGCTGGTTCTGCTCCGGAGCTATTTCATGCAAAGAAATAAACATGTGTGATAAATTACCACAAAGAGCCTTTTATAGATTGTTCCCTGCCCTGTTTTCCTTTCAAAGAATTACAGCTGCTTCGCTCTGATTTTCTGCTGCAAACAGCTCCCTTTAATCAGGGCAGGGACATCTCTGTGCAGGGAATCTTCTCTGCTTGGAAATGTTAGKAAAACTTAGGGCTCTGTGAGCTTTTGTTTGTTGGAGAATGGGTACAGGAGTTTCCATATGCTTTGGGCAAAGGGGGCAGTTTTTCCTGGAGAACATATTTTAGTGTCTGTGTACTTCCAGATACACCCCCGATAGGGAAAACAAGGTTCAATTGAACAAAAATGCCATTTTTCTGTAGTCTAGTTCCCAATCCCTTGGCTTCCTCCACTGTTCTTCCAAACAGTCTTGCAAGAGGAGGGAAACTGGGTTTGGTAGTAATGCTGTGGTATCTTCTGTATATGGAATGTCTCCAGGGAAAAGCTGGAAAACAATGTAAATTATTTTAAACTCACTGTAGGGGCAGATGAGGAAAAAAATCTGTGAGAGGAAATGATTTATCAGTTCAGGATTACAGACCTGCAATAAAGGACTCCAGTAAAAAACAGTTATGTGTGGCAACATTCACYAAGTGTCTTTGTGACAGGACATAAAATTAATAGTACAGTGAGTATTAGTGACCTTTAAACAAGAGGCTTAAGAGTTTCTGTCGTCATAGGTCTTGCAGAATTGGAGCTGTCATACCAGAATGGGCAGAAGTTAGTGGAGGAGTCACTTCTGGCCTGAGGGGATGAGATCAGAATGAGGATTAGATCCTTTCTGGTGGCAGAAAAACAGAGCTCACTTGCTCTGTGGCTTGTGTTTTTTTGTTGGTTTTTTTTTTTCCTCTGTGGTTCATTTTTTCCAATGCTTGCTGCTATAAAGTACAGCATGAAAAATGACTTGGTAAATATTGCATTTTATTTTAGTAGCTGGTTTTCAGATGAGACTTGCAGTGSTGACACAGTCTGAGAGGTTTTCTGTCTCAAAGGGACTGCTTTTACCCTTCATCTCCCCTCTGCCCCTCCAGGTAGCCCCATGTTTCTTTTCTTCCCAAGTGCTYGGTGTTTCTGCTTTGATTGGGCTGGATAAGACATTAAAGCTCTTCTGTCCATTTTTTTTTTAAATCTAGCTGCTTGCCTGGTGCCAAATTGGATTTTAGGAAATCTTTACCCTTTCTAGGACTTCAGTCCCAATCAAGGMAGAAGCAGCCTTGGGTTCTCCTGGCCATGGCTGCCTGTTCTGTGTCTCCAGTAGCCCAGGATCCACCTGGAAGTTGCTTGTCTGCTGCCTGAAAAAGGTTTTTTTGTGGACTCTGGATCTCCGGGGAAAACCAGCCCGAGCCAAGAAGCAGCTGTGTTTGTGGAGCTCTTGCCCTGCCCTGAGCTCCCCAGCAGGAGCAGCTGTTTTGTTTTCATTTCTGGACATTATTTGAGCTTTGAGCTATTGGGGATGAAGCAAATGCCCAGCCTGATGACAGTGACCACCCTTCCCCGCAGCCCTCAGATATCCCTCTCTGCAGATGCCKCTTTCTGGGAGCACAGATTCAGGCCAGCTCTTCCAAGAGGAGATTTTTTCAGTGCCTGGTAACAGACCTTTGGATCCTTGTGCCGTTTCCTGTCTGCAGCTCCCGAGAGCAGCCTGCTGGCAGCTCTCCCGCATGCGGGGAGCCGCGCTGGCCGCGGGGATGCTCCGCAGAGCAGCGCAGCCTCCTCTGGGCTTCCCGGGCAGCATCAGGCTCGGCACATCGGTTTCTGCTGCTCCCCAGCCTGGGGTTATCTGAGGACCTGGAGGCTGCAGTGCATAGGAAGCTCTGCAGTGAGGCACAGGGATGATGATAAACAGGCAGATGGATCCCTGAGTGCTCCTGCACGGGAATAGTTGTGCTGTAAACACGCTGTGACACGAGCCAGATTTGCTTGCCTTGTATGCCGCTCCTGGGAAAGATGGATTTGTTTTTCAGCAGGGCAACGGGAGTGTGATGGATCAGCTCAGGCTGGTATTCTTGGAATCATTTTGTTCAGCAGCCTCTTTGCCTGGATCAAATGCTGGTTGTGCTCTCAGTCCTAGAAGGCATCTGCAGTGTCCTGCTTTGAGGCCCTCTGAGGCTGACGTGGTAGTGATGCTAAAGTGGGTTTGGGGAGTAAGTGACCCAAAAAAAGGAGGTTGGGAGGGAAATCTGCCAGCCTGCAGCAGAATTTCGGCCTGGTGACCAGCTGCAGGAGGTATCAGCCCAGTTCYCTCTACAGCCTGACAACTTCAAAGCTTGTCCCTGTAATTTCCAGTGTCCAGGCCAGCATTAGTGAGCAATGGAAACTGGTTCACTTCTGGTTGTTTAGGAAAACAGGGAGTTCCTYCTTTCCCAGGAGAGTAGGAAGGTCTCACAGTTATTTCTGCCTTTGGAAGCAGGGCCTGGTGAGCCATCCTGGGAGTGATTTTGCTGTTCAGGTACAGCACAGGCTGTCCCTGCTGCAAGCTTTGCTTTCCCAACAGATCCTTGCAGAACCAGCCTGGTGTGCTCTCAGCAGTGCCAGCTCACCTGATGGGAGCCCAGGCAGTGTAGTGGGGTAGGTGTTCAGGTGTTGCTGCAGAGCTGAGTAGTTGTGCTGAGCAATAAATGGTTGGATATCTGCTGTTTGTGATTCCATTCCTGTGCTGAGGCATCTGAGCCATGCCAGTGATGCAGAAATGATCAGCACAGAGAGTCTGCTGCCACAGAAGGAGCTGTGGAGATGGCTAGAAATGGAAATGCAAACAGCAGCACCGATCGTGCTTGTCTCTGTTCCTTCTTGTTATAACAGGAACTTGCTGGTCTGCTGCTAAAAATTTGGGTGCTGACCCGAGGTGCATAAACAAACTTGGCAGTTCAGGGTGTGTTAAAGACTTCAGCCCRTGTCTAACAGCCCTTGAATAAAAAGAGGGTGATAAATAGAGAATTGGGGCACATTTGTGGGAGAGGAAAAGTGGTGGTTACAGGTTTGGGGTAAGGAACTCAAAGACAAATGCTGCTGTGGTAAAGGTGACCAATGCAAAATATGCTGTCGGTCTGGCAAGAAGCAGCGTCAGTAAGCACATAAATCTTGGATTGTAGACATTGCCTGTCTCTGGAGACACCAGTGCAAGCTGCAGGGTAATGTCCTGAAGAGCTAAGTCATGCCTGAGTAAAACTGGCTGCTTCACATGCTGGTATGCAGGAGAATTAATCCTGAAGGCCAATATCTCCTTGAGAAAGCCTCCTTCCCTTGGCAGCAACCTGTTTCAACCCATTTTCCTCTTTCCCCAGCTGCCCAACATGTTTGGTGACCTTCGCTCCACGTTCATYGCTCTGATGATTGGCTCCTATGCTTCCTCTGCTGTGACTTTTCCAGGAATCAAGGTGAGGCCATGGGATCAAGGCTCGTGAGCAGTGGTGCTGTGCTGACATCTTGCCCTGTTTAGCAGTTATGTGGCAAGAAAGAGGGACTGTTTGCTAAAGCATTTTTTTTAGAGATGTGCATTTGCAAGATTCAGTTCCTGTCTGTATTAAAGGCTTCCTAAGAGACTGCCTCAAGAATGAGGCAGATTAGAAACATTTTAGGAGTGCTAAGTAGAAGTGAAAAACTAAAGATMTTTTTTAGAAAAGGCTGCTTTGTTAATCTCTAAGGAGTGTGTATATATAAATTTATTCTTTTTAAATACACAYGTAATTAATCTGTGTGATTGTCACCAATGGCTGGCTTTGAATGTAATTTATTGCTGGCAATGACACTGAAGGGACAAGAGATGGTCACCTGGACTGCCTGGATAGATCACCTGGGGATGACCCAGGGATGTCTCATTGCAGTCTCTGGTGTGCAGGGAAGTTCCTGCTGGTTTTCCAACAAACTCCTTGTCACAAAACTGCTTTTGTTACCRCTCAAGTTTAACCCATTTGAAATGTATCATGATGAATTCATTCCCAATCCCTCTCAGACCTCATCCCAAGAATATTGAATATTTCTGCTCCTGTAGCCAAAACCATATTCCCTTGTGATTTCCAGGTCATTTATGACTTTGGGGTCTCCTTCATYCTTATTCTGCTTGTCTGGGCGAGCTGTGCGGGACTCGTGTTCCTCAACTGCTTCTTCAACTGGCCCCTGGAGCCTTTCCCAGGACCAGAAGACATGGACTACTCGTAAGTCTCCTCCAGGGCTAATYCCATTCCTAATCCTCCAGGAAGAGCTGGCTCAAAGAATTTAGAGGAGTAGACAGGGAACCCCTTGCATGTTGTTTATTGCTGCCACCTCTGAGGATGAGGATTTATGCCTGCCATTAGCATGTCAATACCTGTGGAAAGTGGTAATTCCAATGTAGGAATTATGAAGGAAAAAGGATCTGTTCCCGGTTAGAAGTATTTGGTATTTAATTGTGCCAAGTTGGCCCAGGGAAAGTATCTCTGTGTACTCTAGATCAAAACCATTTGTGGGTTTGTAGATGGAAACCAGTGCCTTAAATCCACAAACAGCCCTTCTGACCCCTGCAATGTTGCTGCCTCTGATTCCTCACCCTGTGCCACAGCTCTCACGCTCTTTGCAACCCAACAGGGTGAAAATAAAGTTCAGCTGGCTGGGATTTGACCACAAAATCACCGGGAAGCAGTTCTACAAGCAAGTGACGACCGTGGGGCGCCGTCTGAGYGTGGGGAGCTCCATGAAGGGCCCCAAGGAGCCGGCAGCGCTGCAAGAGAACAACAAGCTCTGTCTGTCTACAGTGGACCTGGAAGTGAAGTGCCAGCCTGACAGTGCAGGTGTGGCTCTGTGGGTGCCCCAGGGATGCCTGTGCTGGCACAGGCCCGTTGGGCTCCCTGCTCTGCTCCAGGCCTGTTTGTAAAGGAGCGGTGCGTGAGCCAGGTGTGGCCAGGGGCCATGAGTGCCACCAGGAGTGCAGCACAAGTTGAGTTATAGAAGGAATCCTGTCCTGGTATCCCTGCCTGAATACATATGGTGTAGACAGGACATGGGAGCGGGTGTGGCTGCAGGGGGACAGGCCAGGCAGCCACTGCTGTCCCTTAGGTTGATTGTTGCCATCAGGCCAAGCCTTCCTTACTCAAGAGCATCGTGGTTTGACTTGGAAGGGACCTTAAAGATCATTTCATTCCACCCCACTTACACCAGAACAGGTTGCTCACAGCCCTGTCCAACTTGGTGATGGTGAAATCAAACAATTTGAGGCTTTTTTTTTTTTGTTCTAATCCACCAAATAGGGCAAGTCTTCCTTCCTGCTTCCTTGCCTGTTACTTGTAGCCCAACTCCAGGCATCTGTAGCTGTTGATAATGAGAGTTTGGAGGCACCAGGTGAACTCTTATAGCATTTCTAGGCAGAAGACCTGCTAGGCCACAGGTGAAATTGTAGATGTTTGCCAAGGTGTTCTGCCTCCTTCAGAGATTGTTATTCCTCCTGCAGCTACTCCTTCCTTCATGAAGAGYGTCTTCAGCCCCATCCTGCTGCTCAGCCTCATCACCATGTGCGTCACTCAGCTGCGGCTCATCTTCTACATGGGAGCCATGAACACCATCCTGGAGTTTCTGTCTGGAGATGAAAGTCAAGGTAGGGGAAACTCTGAAGAACTTTACCTGCTTCCTTGGGGCTGGGAGCTGGGCAGYGAGGCCAGAGCACCTGATTACTCAGCAGATAGGGCAATCTATGGTGTCCAAGTGCACTGGCAGCTGCTGGGAGGGTCCAGGGAAGGGCTGGAACCAGCCCAGCGCAGAGGGGCAGCGAGGTAGGCACTTGAATGTCAACCTAATTTTAGCCCTGTGTCTGTCAAATGCTGCCCCATGCTATTTCCCCACATAGGTAGTTGGAAGTAGCCTCTCAGGGTGGACTGTGATAATTTTTTTTTTAACTGGAAAGCCTATTTCATCAGGTATTTGCTTAACTTATCCTGAGCAAGCAGAGAATGCAGAGCAGCTGACTCTCATGAGTAATGGTTGGACTCGGTGCCTCAGCCTGGCACCCGGGGGAGGGAGAACTGAAGTCAGAGCTGTTGTTTTGTGCAGCTTGGTGGGTGCTGGGGAGGCTCAGAGAGTCCCTGCTCTGCACTCTCTGCTTTTACAGTTCTGGTGAAGTTCATGGAGCAAACAGGAAGGAGTACATTAGTTTACTGGTGAAAATTGGATTGCAAAACAGGACAGCCTTTTTTTTTTTTGTTTTTGTCCTTTGTAGTAAGATCCAGTTTGAACTTGTTAAATCTGGATTGCATGAAGCTGATAAATCAAGAGGCACTCCTCTGAAAACAGGAGTTGAGCTCTGGGGGAGGGAAGGAAACTCAGGAAACTCCAAGTGCCCTGGCATTCCCTGAATTGCTTTGTTTCTTGAACCTCTGACAGGCTGCAGCATTCAGCTCTTTATCTCCTGGCTCAGGAGCCAGTTTAGACATTAAACAACAAAACAGGACAAACTGCACACTGCCTACCTTTTCCAGCACTGCTTCCTTTTCTGCTTACCTTGTAACTCTGACACTGCATTTTAATTTTTTTTTTTACCCTGGCTCTTGCTATAGTCATTTAATTTTCTTTTCTTTCCTTCTCCTTCCCTCCTTGGAATTTTAGAATTAATATTAACCGTGTAAACTGCCAATTGTGCTTAGATCAAGCTCATTGCTAAAACAGGGATTGTGGCCCTTGAGTGTACATTACAATTTTTCTGTGCCACCTTTAAGATTTCTTCCTATTTTTTCCCTTCCTCCCCCTGAATGTAGCCTGGGCTCAGTGCAGTCGCTGTCTTGGTGTTTCCATGGCATCAGCAAAACAGTGGTATTGTCTGGTCTCAGCAGTGTCAGGCTCTGCTGCAAGAGCAGTTCCAAGGCACGTGCAGCTCTCTAGAAATGTAATCTTGTGTGCATCAGGAGAGGATGGGATGCTGCTTCCCTCGCATTCCTYGTTCTTCCTGCATTTATACACTTCGACTAGGATTTGCTCAGGGAGATCCCTCCACATGCAATGCCCTCAGGAGCACTGAGAGAAGAAGAGTTGAGTCAAACCTTGCAAGTGTTGTGGTAAAAGAAAACTTAAATATTCCTGGGAGCAGAGCAGGAGAGAAGGATGTGGGGGAATTAATGCAGATAAGCAGTCAAGTCTTTAATTGCAGCGAGGTACAGTGTCCATGAAAGTTCTTTCTGTGCAGGTTATGGTGGCTTAGATCTGTCACGAAACCAAAACGTGGGGAGAGCAGTCAGCCTGTGCTCCTTATCTGCTGAAACCCCCCAAAAGATGAGGAAGAAACTGTAAAAGTGTTGTAGGAAGGCAGGGGAGAGCAGATCTGTTAAGCCTACAAGCTGAAATTTGTGTTTTTCATAAAGTATCACCCTGCTTTTGAATGTGGTGACACTGAGAGAGCTTTGGTAGAATCAGGGCTGGTAAACTCAGCTGTATGGGGTGTTTGCTSAGGGTGGTTTTGAGGGAAAAGCTTGTAGAATCGGGAATGTCAAGGCTTGTGCTCATGTGTGCTTCCTTTGCTAGGTAYTGTTGCTTTTTCTCCTTGGGAAACGATGTTTTTTAAGATGACAGATAAGCTGAGGGGGCCCTGTTTTGCAGCAGCTACTGTCTTCCCTCCTTCTCTTGCTGACCCCATAAATTTCACTCCCYAATTCAAGCTGGCCTCTGCCCTTGTTGTTCAGAGCCCAAGATTAAGTGTTCAGAATAGCATAAAGAGGCAAAACATGTCAGCATGGCTTGCTTCTTACCCTCTATTAAAAAATAACCAGACAACAGTAAATCAGCTCCTGCAGTGTTCATAGAGAGTGGTGCCACCTGTTTCTCTTGGCTGCAGCAGTTGCTATAACGAGAGGGGATGTGGGGTCACTCCAGGGCTCGCCTTTGTGGGAGGAACGGGGGCACCAATGTGAGTTTGGAGGTTGGAGCTGGAAGTTCCTCTCAGCTCCTTTGCCAGCAACTGGAGCCAGGAAAAGATGATCAGGTGCCACAGCAGGGCAGCTCTGCTGGGCTTTGCTGRAGCTGTATAGGAGAGAGAGGCTTCTTGGAAACTTTCTGTCCATTACCGAGTAGATTTTGGTGGAAATCCTGGCTGTACTTCTTTGGCTTGACTTAAAAATGCATTGGGAGGGATAAATTAAAGTTGTAGCGGTTTTGCTTACAGGGCTGTAAGTTGTGCTCTGTGCTGAGATGGGCAGTTTCAGAGCTACATCCTAATTTCAGAGCTGTGGCACACCGTGACTCACCAGCCCTTGTGCGTGGTCAYGTGGGCTGCTGAGAGGAAGTGGAAAAAGCATTTGCAGGGTGGGGGAATTGCTCAGTAACAGGAGGGGACAATTTCTTCTGAGTCTGCTGGCATCAGCTTTCCCTCAGCAAGCCATGGAGACACTTCTCTCATCATTAGCAGGAAATTTTCATCACTTCCAGCTTTTTAACAATTGCTCTCAAATGCTGTGGGTTTTTGATGCTGATCTCCCTTCTCCTGGTTTCCAAACTTGTCTGTTCAGCACAAACTGGGTTAGTCCTCACCTTCCCAGCCTGATTGTCCTTGCTGGAGCTTCCCAGCTGGAGAAGGTGAAGCTGCAGCTCCCAGCGAGGCAGGAGAGGAGATGACTAAAGCAGGGCTGGCTGTGCARCACGTAAAGCTTAGAAAAACTTGTCCTGCCCAGAATAAACCTCACTGGCACTAAGCAGGTGCTGWGTCCCATTTTTTGAGCCCTACCTGCTGCTGCCCAGAGAATTCCAGTGCAGGATCACAATGGCTGAAGGAAGTGTGCCTAGTATGTCCACTCTGATGTTTGGAAGGCTGATGAATGGCTGGGTTTTAATAAGAGAGGTGATCAATGAGAACATTTTTGTCATTTTCTTTTTCTATTTGCTTGGCCTGACAACTATTGAAATTTTTTTTTTCTCCTTGCAGTGGCTCTCTACACTTCCATTTTTGGGGTCCTGCAGCTGCTGTGCCTGCTGACAGCGCCTGTGATCGGGTGCATCATGGACTGGCGAATGAAAGAGTGTGATGATGGCTCAGAGGAGAATGAGGAGAGCAACGCTGAGCAGTGCGTAGTGGGCGCCACACGGGACATGCAGCCACCTAGCAGGCCCCCTCTGCTCTGCCTTATGTGTTGTGGGATGAAAAGACTGAAAAAGAATATTGGCTCTTCAGTATAGAAAAGAAAGCCCGAAGGAAGAACTTGATAATTGCAGAGGAAAGGMGCAGACTATCTTCCATGTCCACTAAGATCAGTCAAGAGGAGAGCAAATTTAAGGTGTAGCAGGAAAGGCTCAGACTTCCCTCCTGGCCTAAGAGTAAGAGTAACAGCACTGAAATAATTACCCAGATGTTCCTCAGCTTCTGCTGGTGGAGATCCCAGCACCCCCGCAGGCAGACCTGTAGCCAAACTGTTTTAGATAGACATGATGTGATGTGTGGAGAATTTTGCTGAGCCTTCCAGTAGCTGCTAGAAATGTGTTGGTAACACAAGTTTTACTGTCCTTACAGAGGTGAGAAGAAAAAGAAAAAGCGTGACCGCCAGATCCAGAAAATCACCAAYGCCACCAATGCCTTTGTATTCACAAACTTCCTGCTGGTTGGATTTGGAATCACCTGTCTTATTCCCAATCTACCATTGCAGGTGAGTAGGTGAAGTGGGTGAGGGTGCTGGAGGGGCTGGCACAGTGACAGGACATGGTGGTGACAGGAGAGTTGGGACTGCCTTTACTGGGAAACTTCCCTACTGCTTTGGAAGCCCCCCCTTTAGAGCTGAAACAAATCACACCATGCAGTTTAGATCTCTTGAGAGAACSTAAACAAGCAGCTGTAGTTAAAATGCCAGTTGATACGGAGTTTATTTGCATTTAAAAGTTTCTGCAGCTGGGCTTTGTAACAACAAATTCTTGCCCACCAAGATYCTCTCAGTGCCTGTATGTTTAAACTCGATTTAAAGCTGATGAAGGTCAGAAAAATTTGCTGCAAGAAGCATAACACAGTGATGTGTACAGCAGGTTATTCCTGCGTCAGATGCTGTGCTCAATGGTACCTGTGGGATTATAAACCTGTTAAAATATTTATTCTGTGGCACCACCTATTTTTGGCAGAGGAGTTTAGTGATTTTATGCTGTACTTAAACATGCCTTGATGATGCAGGCAAACAGCTGTAGTTTGCTCATACTTGYGTGTTGTCTGCAATAACTTGTGGAAAATTAACTAAATTGGTGGTAAAGCAGTGTGATCCTGGCCATGGGTTGCTGGGGACACGTCCTTGCAGCAGTGCCACCTCCAAATGAGGGAGGCGTTGTGTGAGTGCAGTGAGGAAAAGCAGTGCCTGGAGACGAGTACAAATTTCTTCCCTTGTTCTGCTACTTCAGATTCTGGGTTTGGGTTTCCCAATCCTGCCTAGAAAGAACAGCCTTTAGGAATGGTTGGTGTTGGGGTTTGGCCCACCTGSGTAGGTGCTTAGGATGTGATGTTTTTCTGCTTGTTTTTTCAGATTCTGTCCTTCATTTTGCACACAATTGTGAGAGGATTCATCCACTCAGCTGTGGGAGGCCTCTATGCAGCTGTGTAAGTCTCTGGTGACCTATAAAATGTGGCTGTGGCAGATAAACTGGTTTGGGGTGATAGGCTGTCTAGGGAAGAGGGAGATCAGGAATGAGGTCTTKGTGGTCAGAGGGGAAAATGATGCAACCTGTTTCCTCAGTCACCTCTAGACATGACAATAGCTGAAGTGCCTGTGCTTTCCTTGTTTATCAGCAGAGACAGGCACAGCTATGTGTGGGCCTCACGTGAGACTAAACTGTTGACACTAAGGTTATTTAGTAAAAAACTCAAGGCTATTTTTGTCTTGTAATGAGCAGATATGTGCATGTGCCCAGGTAAAACATTAACGTGACCGAAAACATCACTTCTGCTCTCCTCTGAAGCTGACACTGATAAAACATTGCTCAAGACACCATTGGTGATGCCTCCTCCCTTTCCCAGGGCAGATCATCCATCCTGTTTCCAACTTAGCAAATTATCAATAGCTGTATCTAGGCACTCTCTTCCTCRTTAAGCAATGTTTTTGGCCTTGAGAACAGATCTGCCCCTCAGTCCTGAGCAGCTAGACAGAGGAACAAAGAGGAGCTGTTTTCTTTCAGGCAATCAGAGATTTGTTGAGGTGGGAAGGGACCTCTTGAGACCAGGGTCAGCTAGAACGGGTTGTCCAGGAATACATCAGTTTGTTTTGAATATCTCCTTGGATGGAGACTCCATAACTCCACARACTCCTTCTGTCAAAGGTTTAGATCCCAGTTTCTGGGGAATCCAGAGTAGGAAACACAGCTATGACTCTGCTTCAGAAATACATAAACTTGTGGTTCCCTGGCAGCCAGAAGCAAAATATTTTTGTCTCGGGCAAGGTAAATAAATGTATTTTGCAGTACATATCACYTTACTTATAAAATAATCCTGTTTGACCATTGCAACTCTCTGGWACTTCCTGGAGTAAGGTATTTTTTGCTTTGAATGTGAATATTTGAAGGTTTTGATTAGCTTCTTTCTTTCCAAGTTTAGTTTAACCTGACCCTTTTTAAACACCGCTCAATGATGGAAAGAGATGTTAGATGATTCCTGAAATTTATTTTTCCATTAATATTATCTGATACCCAGCACTTGCCAATCAACAGTGTTGTTTAGTTTGACCTAGGATCAGACTTGTCCTCTAAAAAGAAAAACACTAACCTGTTGTGCAGGTTTCACTCACTTCCAAAGGGAGCAAATTGTTATGACCAGATGAAAATGATTGCTCAGCCACAAGTGTTGTCATCTGGATAAAGAGGCCCCGCTTTTAACCTGTAAATATCAACACCCTGCTCCCTGTGCAATAGCAACAGGGGTTGTATAAGCATTTCCACCTGCCTACAGCAGAGCTGCAAAACAAAACAGTTGCTGGATCTGATATTGCTAAAGTTTGAGAGCTCAGGATGAAAAAAGCCTGATGAACAAGGYTCCAGTCTTGCCACCATTCTGCTCTCAAAAGCACCATGCACACTACAGGGTGTAGCTAAATACCCTATAAAAGGGGTACTTAGACATAAGTGTGGGAGTTATGCCTGTCTTGGGACTGTGCACTCACATTGGTCTCTGTTATTGCACTGGGAATGTAACCTGACCTGGGTGATGTGAACAGTCAAGGTGACACATAATAATGCTGTTGCTTTCTTTGTTGACAGATACCCCTCGACTCAGTTTGGCAGCTTGACAGGGCTGCAGTCGTTGATCAGTGCCCTCTTYGCCCTTCTGCAGCAGCCTCTCTTCATGGCACTCACAGGACCTTTGAAAGGAGACCCTCTCTGGGCAAGTTCTTCTCAGTTTTAATGTGAAAGCTTGGTGGTTAAGAATGTTTTTGGCTCATTCCTTGGGGGGAAAGAAAGGACTCTTGTGCATGGMCCAGGGTTAAAAACAGCTGTAATTTTACATGTCCCTCAGTCTGCTGTTACCTTGGTGCTGTCCAGGAGACCTTTCCCTGTGTGAGTAATGACTCCTGGGCAGGAAAGCCRGTAACCATTATGCTGGTGTATGGAAAGGGAGGAAGGGAATGCTTTCCACTAACAGTTTATGTGGTGAATCAAAATCTGTCAGGTTAAAATGGGYGAGTGTGAGCAGGCCTCAAAACCCACTACAAATACCCTGACCCTTGAGAGCTACAAGCTCTAATTGGCAGTAAATTTTGGTTTGCTGATCCTAGTGTCCAAAAAGCCAAATGGCTTTTGAGGGTAGGGGTAATGTGGAGTCTTACTGAGAGTCTGAGCTGCTCAAAAGAATCATAACATGGGTGGTCCTGGGGAGAATTCTGATCTCTCAGCTATAAGTGCCCACACCCTGTTGCTTTTCAAYCAGCAAACTTGGTGTGAAAATCCTGCAGCTCAATCAGCCCTGCCTGTTGTGTGGAACAAGACTCCCACAGCCATAATCCAGAGCCACAAACTCTTGCAGCATTTAGCCTGTACACACAAGGTGCTCTGGGCACGGGAGTGTAAACARAAAAACAGTGGAGGATGTTGCCAGCACACGGAGCAGGGCGGCTCCTGGTTTGCCCACAGCTGGGTGATGTGGGCAGGGCTCTGACACGGCTGCGTGCGTGACTGGGTTCTTGTCTCCTAGCCAGCCTAATTTTGGTTTGCTTTCCTCCTGCAGGTGAATGTTGGCTTGCTTGGCGTGAGCCTCCTGGGATTCTGCCTCCCAATCTACCTGGTCTGCTACAGGCGCAGGCTAGAGAGAGAAAAGAAGCAGAAGATGGAAGATGCCAAACTTTTCTTCAAAATCAACGGCACTCCCACTGAGGAAGCCTTTGTTTAAACTGGTGCTTCACATACAACCTCCCCTGTACAGGTTCCTACCACATCCGTGGGTTCTACCTGTGGTGTAAGCCAGGACTTTTCTCCCCTGGCTCTGCCAGTCTTTGCTCATCACTGGAGTGAGGGCTGGACATGCTGACTGAGATTTCCTCAGAKAAATGGCAGGAGGAGACTTCCAACTCCTTACTCCAAAACACGGGACACTTTCCCTTTTTATAAAGGCCACACAGATATTGTGTCTTAAATTATCCCCTGATCACGCTCTCCAGCAGCAGAGAGTTTGCATAGGAAGGAAACTGGGGAGAGAAGGAATAGAGGGATGGGGGAAGAGGGAAGACAGACCATAATTTGAGTTGGCAAATGTAACACACTGAAGTCTGTGTTCTCCCCCTCTTCCCCCAACCTTGGCTGATGCAGTCTCGGATGCAASCTGCACTCTCCTCCCTCCCCAAGGCTTCATAATGGTCTTTCTGCTTGATGTGTATCTGGACCCAGTGGTTTTACTGTCTCGCCAGACATACCCCTGTTTCTGAGGGGGGGAAGGGGTTTTTATTCCTATGTGTATGAGCACAGCTTCAGTGTATTGCTAAATGTCGACCACTTGCACTGACAGCTCCCAAACCTTTCATTACTACAAATGACACAGACTGTGAGCAATGGATCTGCCTTCCACACTGAAATGAAGAGCCTAGAGTGGACTGCTGGTCCTAGACCAAGCCTTCAGAGGTCTGGAATTCCTCTTCTTCCCGGTTCACAARTCCACCTGTACGTGTTTTAAACTGTCTGCAGTCCAGGAGCCTCTGAGACAGGATTTGGATCTTGTTTACCRATGAAGTGCTTTGAGAGACTCGTTGCCTTTTAGCCTCTCCCTCCCTCCGACATGACCCTGGGAGGGGAGCAGCAATGTGTATTCAGTAAAGTGGAGRAGCTTCTTGAAGCTGAGTTCTGGGGCTGCAGATACCTTGGTGTTCACGTGCTGGGAGCTGACCTGCTGGTGAAAAGAATCAAGAGTGCAGAACACTCCTTTGTGTCTGGTAACTGGATCCTGTGGACTTGTGGCGGGGTGATGTGGTGATGTCATTTTTCCTTTAGCCATAGCTTATCTACCTTGCTGTGAGAATGGTCACCAAGCTGCTGAACACCAGGTTACTGTGACTGACCAAAATGCTGCCGGTTTGGCTGTTCTAGGAGCCTTCTACAATGCTGGTGCTCTGTCTGGACAGAGCAGATGGTGATTGATTGTACGGTGAAGCTGACTGTCAGAGCAATACGTGTGGGTAAAGGTGCCCCAGGCCTGTTCACACCAGGGAGGGAATACAAAGGGAACTTTTAACCTACTTATTTTTATAGAGGTTTTCCTTGTCTAAAGCAGACTTTTCTGCCCGTAACCTTCTTGTTGTGGTTGGTAGCTCAGGCTCTGTAGCCCTGTGCCCAGTATGGACCCCTGCACCGGGCGGACCTGCGGGGAGCAGGACTGTGCAGGGGTGAGGATCAGCATCCCCGGCGGGTGCGTGGCACCAACTGCACTGGGCTGAGCTGGTGGCCGCGGGAAGGTTGGGGCAGAAATAAAACCATTCTGAAGACCTAGTGSTGGTGTTTTACTGCAAAGCCTGGCAGGGGGTCAGACATTCAACTTCTCTGTGTCTGGTTGGAAAAGTACAAGAGTTGCTCACAGGCGMTTAGAGACACCACCGTGCTGAGACCTTGCTGTGAGAAATGACCTGGAAGCTGCGTGTTAATTCGTTCGCTGGGGGTTGAAGGARACACAACCTCCGCCCGGGCAGGGCTCCACCTTTCCTAAAGAGCAGCAGAGCCTCGGYAGCAGGGCCGGGAGCCCCGCGGGTCCCTGGCTGGTGGCAGTGCCACTGCAGGTACCGGGGCCACTCTGTGGGACGGCAGCGCCATCTCGAGTCGCTGCTCCTGCGGGCAGCTCTGCTGCTCCTGCACTCCACGGTACCTTTTAGTCTTCAGTCRCTGGTTTCAGAAGGACTCGCCACTTGAGGAATTTACACATTTGTGATTTTTTTTTTTTATTATTTTTAATGTGTTGCCTTTATTAAATGTGTTTGTTTCAAGACAGCCTTATTGCCTGCTGTCAACGCTGTACTCTGCTGGAACTTTTTGTCTTTTGGTGATGATTTAGTGACCTTGCCATCTTTTCTTTGAGCAATAATTAAGAAGGCAGAGTTTTGATTAATTTTCCTGTTCTCCTCTATTGTCTCAACTTCATGTTGAGAGACYCACCAGCCGTGGTGCAGCCTGCCTAGACTGCCAGAGGGCTTTCTGCAGATTTCTGCATTTTGTATTCCAATACTTCTAAATAATTTGAGAAGAGTCTTGCTCAGAGCTACTTGTGACATGACAATGCCAGATTAAGTATTGGGTGAGTGAGCCTCCAGCTGTAGTCTCAGTATCCTAAAGCAGAGTTGGAGGGTGTTTTATGTGCGAACCCAGCATTCCATCCACCTCAGTTTCAGAATTGAATGTGATTGCTTCCACTCTTACGTCACTTTAATGCCTGTTACAAATGTGTCAGCACAGTAGTGCAATAGGGAGTGACATATTTTAACAAAGTCTTAGTGGAGATGCTGCTGCCTTTTAGTTTACCTGCACATACTTCAAAGAACACACTTTTGKTTTTGCCATCTACCTCCCTACTGCAGTTCCTAGATCCTGCCCTTTATTAGGGATATCTTCAAATCCAGTTTCATCTGATAMACTGGTGGTTGTCTGCTTAATGTCTTTGCTGATGTGCCATGGTGTTTAGAAGCTGCTGGTCAGCTGTGAGTAGACCTTGTGTCCTGGAGTCACAGTCCTGGTGGGTGCACAGGGAAGTTTTAGCTATTCAGGGTTGATCAGACAAATGGGATCATGTTCTTGGGCCATGCAAAGGCAAACTGTGGAATTCTTTGCTGCAGAAGWTAGTGGGGAACAGAAGTATCAACTTATTTTTTTTAAAAAAAGGCTGGTTAAACAATGGTCTGATGCATCTGCTAACTCAGGGAGATTTTAAGTTGCTGTAAATAAGAAAGTTATGCCAAGGAAGGATACTTGTCTGCATGTTCTGTCTCGTAAGAATTGGTCATAGACCAAGAAAACATGCTGGGCTGAAGTGAAACACTACTCTGATCCCATGGGTTGTAATTTATTCTGACAGTTGTGAACCAAACTCATTTCAAGAGCAGTCTAAGATKTATCTATCCAAAACCTGCATCTGCGTGCAAGATGTGCAAACGCTCTACTGATTGTGGCATAACTGCTTCAGTGCTGCAMCTCCTGCTGCACTGGGGCTCTTCGGAGGGCAATATTCTGCCTTCAGATTCTTCTAAACATTGCCTTGAACAGCACAGAAACACAGTTGGGGTGGTCCTGTCACGTGGGGTTGATCAGGGGCAGTTTGCCTCATCCTTTGGTGCTTAGGGAAATAGAATTTTGGGTTCTATATATTAGGAGTGGAAAACAGCATTGCTGCTTCCCAGCTGAGTGATGCAGGACCAGGAAGATTCCTGGCGCACTCCCTGTGCGCAATGAGCCACCTTGTGGGAAAAATAAACGGGCTACCAAAGACTAGAGAGTCACAGYAGTTGGAATCAATAATGCATTTATCTGGATAACTCAAATATAGGTCAATGTGTTTAACTGCTTTCATAATTCCTAAATGCTCATTTTGTAGGACTTGGGGGGGTTTTATGCTGTTTGTACCTCCTTATCCTCATCCATATGGGAAGTGCAAGGAGGGGGCCATGGGGGAAACCTCCATGGAAGCATYCCCAGCTGAATGTAATGAAGCAGAAACCTGATCTGTGAGTACCTGCTGTTTGTAGGAGCCCTCAGAGTCAAGGGTGTTGCTGTTTAAAGTGATTGCACCTTCTGGAGACATTGCTCCTGCCCTCTACAGCCTCTCACATGCATTTGTATTAAAAAACAATAAAATCCACAGAGTGGGGAAGGGAGGGTGACAGCTTTTTGCTTTCACTAATCTGTCAGAACCTAAGCCCTGTTGACACAGCCTTTATAGCACTAATGCAATGACACTATGTCAAAAGTAGCAGGGAAAATCTGTGCTGTTCTGCTYAATAGGACACTTACACTATGACAGTCACTGAGTAAAGCTATATCTGGATCCTTGAGGTGTAACCGGACACAGATGTCTGGAGAAAAAAAAAGGGCAAATCTTGCTGAGACACCAACTTAAATGCAATCCTGCTACAGCAACTGAAATGTTCAACTCCCACAACGAAGCCTGGCCTCTTCATGCTCTGTCTACAAAGGAAATTTGCAGGATAATAAGATTTTAACTAAGTCCGTAAATCACTAAAATGTTTTCAAGTAGGAGATTTCTCTCTTGACAGGCCRATGAATTTGGAAAATATGCTACAAAATTTAAAGCACATACTGTAGGGTTAAAGGAATKAAATTTATAAACTACTACTCCTCTTTTTTCCCCTCTGAGTTTTTTTTCTGCATCTTCAGAGCTTTTCGGATATTCCCTAAACCCCAGTTTAGAATTGCACAGTGCTCATAATGGAAMATAGTATTGCAGTAGGATTCCTGATGGGAAGGGACTGGTTTGGGGTTTTTTTTAAATTAAAACAAAAAGGCCACCTCTGATTCACAATTCACAATGTTATCTTCTCTGGAATAGCTGAAACAATGATTTGTTATGTATGCAGTCTTACATGTTAATTATAAAGCCCACAGGTCCTTGTTTTCTTCCACATGCTGCCAGCCTGTCTCTGCGCAATCTGTTTTTACCAGSTGTCCTGTGCTCCACGTTGTCATCCTGCTGCTGTTTGTCACTTCCTTGTGCCTGACCCTCTGTCACTCGCTTTTTATTCTGGAGACAATCGCTTCTTTCAGAAAATCCCCTCTTTAACTTGCCAGCATTACCTCTCCTACCTTTTCCGGTCCACAGAATTTTTTGTAGCATTTGTTGAAGTCGAATTGTAAACTCGGGGCAGGCCTGTGTCATCTTCTCTGTGTTTGTAAGGTGATGTGCACTCTTGCAGTACTATCTCAAAATAAAGTGATAATAAGTTAATMATTAGTTTTCCTTCTGAGGGGGAACATAATAAAAGCATTGGTTGCTTCCTAACGAGATTATGGAACTGTGAATGCTTTACAGGGTGGCATCTGCCCAAAAGGCAGGTTGAATATTTCCTTGACTTTTTCTCCTCTAGGTAAGGATCTAGTAACTGATGCCAATTAAATTTTTCTTCTCTGATTGAGCTTAATCTCTGACAACAAAACCCAACCCCTGTAGATGGCAGATTGAGAATGAGATTGAGCTCAGTTGTACTGTATGAACTTCTATCAAATAGTGAAAAATGAACAGTGTGGCCTTAGATGGGAACACAGGTGTCAACAGCAAAGCTGCACATCTGGGTTATCCATGCCTTAACCTGGTGATGCTAAATCTGTGGTGGTTTACTTTTCCAATCCAATAATGACCATCATTGAAAACACCATAAATCATGACCTAGTGGCAAGGTGAAGCCCATGACCTGAAGCCAYTGACCCTGTCTGACTGTAGCACTGACTTATCCCCTGGCTATTTGCGTTAATACCCTGGTCATTCGTCATTCCCCATTCCCACCCTCCCAAAAGAGGGGGGCCCCAAAGTTGACAAAAATACTGGAGCACCTTCCCTATTGAAACAGGCTGAGAAATTTGTGGCTGTTCAGCCTGGAGCARGGAAGGTTTTTGTGGAGACCTCACAGCACCTTCCAGTGTCTGAAGGGGCTACAGGGRAGCCAGAAAGGGACCCTTTGTCAGGRACYGTAGTGACAGGGCAAGGAGTAATGGGTTCAAACTGAGAGAGGGGAAATGTAGGTTAGGTATTGAGAAGAAATTCTTCTCTATGAGGGTGGTGAGGCTCTGGCACAGGTTGTTCAAGCTGCTGTGGCTGCCCCATCCCAACATAAAAGWGTTCAAGGCCAGGTTGGACAGGGCTTGGAGCAACCTGGGCTAGAGGAAGGCATCCCTGCCCATGGCAGGGGGTGGAACGAGGTGGTCTTTGGGRTCCCTTCYAACCCAAACCATTCTGGGATTCGAAGARAACCTGATGGTGGCAGGAGGGAGCCTTCTGGTGGCACTGCTGGGAGACTTCTTGGGAACCCCAGTCTCGAGTTGAAACAGACAACACCACGCAGTTTACACCTCGTGAGAGAACCTAAAGAAGCGGCTATACTTCAAAATAATCCAGAAAAACCTGAGGGCCCGCCACGAGACCCTGCCAGCGGCACTGCTGGGAGACTGCGGWACTGCTCTGGGAACCCCAGCCTTAAAGCGGAGACAGCACCGCGCGGTTTACACCTCTCGAGAGAACCTAAAAAAAAAAATAAATTCAATTCAGGCGTTTTAGTTTAAAAACCTCAGCGGCGAAAAAAAAAAACAAAAAACAAAACAAAAACCCGCGAGGCAGACGCGCGCTGCCTGAGGGAGCCGGAGGGCGGGAAGAGGCGGGCGGGCCCGCCCCGCGCGCGGCGCGGAGGTGACGCAGCCGTTGCCGCAGAGACGAACCGCCCCGGCCCCCCCGCCGGCCCGGCCCCCCCGTCCCGGTGCGGCGCGGCGCGGCTCGGCTCGGCTCGGCTGGGATCGGCTGGGATCGGCTCGCCTCGCCTCGGCTCGGCTCGGTCCATCCCGCGGAGCGGCCCCGGGACGCGCCTCCTGTCACCTTCAGCGGCGCTGGCCCGGGCGGGAGGCGCGCGGCGGCGCCGCCATGGTGCTCATCAAGGAATAGTGAGTGCGGGGAGCTCCCCCACCCCGGCCCCCTTGAGCCCCTCCGGTCACCTCCGTCCGCGCCCGCGGCCTGGCGCSGTGACGGCCGCGGGTGGGCGGCCCGGCCTTGCCCCGCACTGCGGCCGCGGAGAGGGAGGGAGGGAGCGGGGAGCGCCGTGAGGGCCGCGGCGGCGGTGGGGGCGGCAGTGAAGGTCACGGCGGGGCGGGGGCCGCGGCTGCCGGCGGGCACCGGGTCCGCTCGGCCCCTCTGCGGCTCCGCGGAGCCCGGCCGCTGTCCCCGACGGCTTCCGCGGGCGGGTGGCCCCGCACCGGCTGTGCCCGGTGGGTGTTGCCGGTGCCCGGGTGCTGAGGGCCGAGCCGGAGCCGGGAACCGGCTCAGTCCYGGGGGTTTCTGTGCGAGRTCTGAGGGAGCCAGGGGCGTCTTGYCCCCTKCTCCTTGTATCGGAGCCAAATGTCAAGGCTGGTTTTGATCCCCTCCCGCCTTTGACTGTGTAATCTCCAAGGAAGGGCTCCCAAGAATGTTAGTAATAAGGCAGCTCCAAAATATTTTTGTGTGTGGAAGCCTCACCTTGGAGTTCTTCGCTGACCCTGAGGCTACTGCGGTTGTCCTGCCCYGCGATGGGGATGTAGGGGTGGAAAACTGGCTGGACATGAGGGTGTGTAACTATTAGTCACGTTGCTTGTCACAGTCCTTGGTTCGGCAGCTTTGTGCTTGCTAAAGTGGAATATACTCTTGCACCGGTGCACTTTGGCTGGGTGTCTTCAAAGCTGTGCATACTCTGCACATAGTTCTTTCCTGAATTCTTAAGGTTAACTCAAGTGCATTCTTTAGTTAACTGCATTCCCTCCTTTTAAACTTCTTTTGACAGATGGAAGAGGCTTTCTGTTTTTTTTTTTTCTTTCTCTCCTTATAAAAGATACCTGTGATCCCAGGGATAAAGCGGGTTTTCAGGTCTTCTCTTRGACACATTTACCTACATGACCGTGTCCTCCTTACAGGAATTACTTCRCAAGATTATGGACCATGGTGTGGATTTAAATATTAAAACTGTGTTGMCAGTTGTACTGATCCCTGCAGTTGTCTTTAAACTTGATTAACTTTTTTTCCCCTCAATCCTTAAACCGCTGCTATTTTTATCCAAACAATAGGAATGTAGAATTCAAGAGCAGCAGCAGAGCTGCTCTTTGTAACACAGACACCATTACCTTATGTAGTGTTAAACTAGATAGCAGGCAGAAACCTGGGTTAAGTCCTTAGTTTCAGGTCCATGAAAAGATAATTAACTTATTCTATTACATCTGTTTTGTTTCTGTTTTCTTATGAATTTATTACCATCCTTCTATTCACATTCATGTATTTTTTTTATGCTTCTGCTCACAATCCCCTGCCTTGTACCACAGTAAAGCTCATTATCAGTGAGCTGTGCTGTAAAGGTTGGAATACATGTACTTTGAATTTCCAGATTTCTGACAGTATRAGCAGTTCTTTTTCATGACTATCACTTCCAAAAGTCATTTTACTCAAGGTTATTTACCTCACGATCTCAGCATGCCTGCTGGTCTTTCACACTGCCTGTTTCAAAAACAAGGTGTGAAGCATAAATGTTAAGAGTAAAGGTTAAAAGACTGGAATTACTACATTGGTTTCCTTTTACAAGTTTCCATYGGTATTTTCAGAAGGATCACCRAGCCTTTTTMGTGTTGTCATTACCCTGTTTCTTTTCTTCCTTTTGTTTTGTCCTTAGTAAGACATATGTGGCTCTAAGGACAGTCAAGGTTGGTACTGGACTTTCCAAATGAACATTTATTTTCAACTTTCTGAGATTCCCAGCTGCCTCTTCACAGTTGCACGTTCAGAGTTGTGTCACTGTATTGGCAAGATTTAAATATTCTTGATGTTTTATGGTGAAGTTGCCCATTTGACATCCTATTTGAGATGGTTTTTGATGAAATCTCATGTTCCAGGAAGCAGCTGTTTAAGGCATATGGAAACCACTTGTTTGGGTGTGAATTGGCTATTTAAAATGCTTTGCTATTACTGTTTTGCTGTTATTTATGTTAGTTCTAGTTCCATGCAGGTACCTTACAGCCTTCCTTCTGCAGATTGTAAAAATATAAGTGATCTGGGACTTCATATCATCTGAGCAGATTATTATTCCCTCTCTGTGACCCGTTGTCACACCATCCCTAGTAAATCAGATTGGTTTTATTATGTGCTCCATAAGTATTTTAGGAGATGGGACAGAAATAGAGCAATATAACAAAAATCTGATGTCACATTTTATTATCAGACAAGTCAGTATCATAATTCCTGCACAACTTTTTGTCCTGATGGTTATGCAGTGATGACTTTAACATTTTCATTTGATGTCTTGTCAGGCATTCAGACTTATCTTGCATTTCTATCCATCCGTGCTACAGATAAGCTGCATGGATTTCGTTCATTCGTTTGCTTTTTTTTGGTGTCAGGATTTGCAAATGCTGGCTGGAGTCTTCCTTGCTGTCCTTATTTTGATTTAAACTGCCTCGGAAGACCTTGAGGAGAATCAGAGTGTGGAGACTCACTTCCCTTTCCTCTAAAGTGACGATAATGACACTGACCTTCTCTGCAGCTGTACTTCCCTTTGCTGTCATTTGAGGTAGATTTTAATCTAAAAGGGATCATAAATGTTCCTCACCATTTTCAGRCCAACTGTATCATATAATTTCTCATAAGTTGAGCGAGTTCTGTCCTAAAGTTAGGAATCTTTGTTCCCATTGCTGCTCCTGCACAGCTTTTCCTCAAGATCCTCTTGAGTAGTGTTCCCTCCTCCTATTTTATCACTTGACTACTTTTAGGTGTTTTTCACTCCCATATTCTTGATTTGTTGGGCTGAACGAATTGTAAACCATTGATCTTGTTTGTGTTTCTGTTTCTCTATTGATGAACACTGAACTATGAGATAATGTTCAGATTTAGTGTCTTCCAGTTTCCTAAATGGAGTTTCATTCACWTACATCAATATTTTACACCACGTTTTCTAAAGAAAAGTGTTTTAACTCTGTTTTAGAGAAATTGTTTCTTGGTCTTTCACATTTACTTATCATCCAGTCCCTCTTGTCATTCTTACTGCACTTTTATCCAGTTAACTAACCCAGCATTATGGTTTACCTATGAAAATCCATTTCCTGTTATTTTGTCCTCCCTTATACCATGCTGRTGGTGGTCCTCTTCCATCTTGCCTTTCAATTTGTAGCAGTGAGTAACACAATTGTAGTTCAGTGTATCCCAGCAGTAACTGGCACATGGATTTCCATGAATTGATCAAATCCCATTTAACAATTGCTTGTTTTTCCTATGTTTGGGAGGAATGCCATGACTTC